GCACCTCAGGCATTTTATCTGCAGGCTCCTCAGGTTCTTCATCAACATCTTCCTCCTGGTAAGGAGCATCCACCAGAAGGAACTCTTCCTCAGGCTCCTCATCCAAATCAATTTCCACAGGACGCTCATCTTCCAAAGGGCACTCATCTTCAATCTGGGTGTCAGCAAACGCACCACACTGAGCTGCTGCAAGTTCAGCCGCGCTTGCCGGGATGGTTTCCTGGCTTTCAATGCGATCAAACCTCAATGAACCAGGAATCATCATACTTGAACCAATGGTTTAGCAAGGACTGGCTAAGTTCAATGCCGTTTGTCATTCTTATCAATTTGTTCACCGACCATGTTCAATCTACGGGCCAAAGTGTCTGTCGACCTCAGCACAGAAAGCAACTATAAAGAAAAATTGTCATAGCTCTCTAAGACGCCAGCTTGCCACTGAGCAATTGGTCCTACAGATCTCCGCTGACAAGGACAAAATAGATAATGTTTAGAAAACAGTCCTTCACTGCCTTTACACTTTTGGTTGGCTTCTCAACCGGAGGTTCCTTTGGTTTTTTTTCGCGTTTCTGTTTTTTTTATCTCCCTCAGGAACAACATCCTCGATAGAGAGAGTAGTGTCTACCTTCTTACGACTCCTCCGCTTTAATTGCGCTTCCTCTTGCCTGGTCGCGCCTCCAATCAAATTATCCAGGATGAGCTAACACTAATCAACTAACAAGCCTGACAATTCAGCCAACTACGTTATTAGTCGGCTCGGTGTCAGCATCCTTAAACGCTTTCAAAACCGCCTCCAAAGCCCAGGATGAAAACAAAGGCAAGTAGATCTCTAAGCACTAAAAAATCTTCAAAATCATCAGAGGCGCTCTAAGTGCCTAGATACATCCAACCTAAATACATCCAAAAGTCCTTTAACTATCGGAAAGGTTCCAAAAATGTTAGAAAGGTCCCAAAAGTATCGGAAAAAGTCTCAAAAGGTGTCGGAGAGGCTCCAAAAAGTGTCGATGGTTTTTGTGATTTTTACGTTGTTTTCACGGGTTTTTACGTTAGTTTCGACGCTTCTGCGTGCGTACACCTTTTCTAAAAACACGGCTACATATTCTCAAAACCATTCCAGCTTTACCCAACGCTAAAAAGGACAAGATCTATTACTTTATAACATCTACAATTACAGCCATTTCCCAAACCACTTTCTTGTAGCTTCCCCCAAAATCACTTCCCACCGTCCAATGGATTTAAAATGCTAAGATTCAAACAAGTATTTTATCGGAAGATCAAGTCGAACCTCAATCGCCCACCAGTTATCCATATATGCATATATATATATACATACACAAATTTTCTTGTATTCTTAGGCGCTAGCTTTCTCCCAGCCATCAATCTCCCCAAGATCCATAGCCTAGCAACTCCTCCTTCTCATTGGGCACGAGTAGCCTAATATATCCCCCATAAATCAAGAAAGGTATAATCTACCCTTCACTCCCGGGACTACTTCCCACAAAATAATCAATCCGCACCATAAGCTCAAAACCTACATACGCTCCAACAAATCACACTAACAAAGCTCATCTCCACACATTTCGACTAAGCCTTTTGCATCTCGATAACCAATAATGCTCCCAAAAGCATCCGTATTAACGCGCGGCCCAATACGGACAAACAAACCCTCGCCGGCAGATAAATAAAGGTTTTTTTTTTTTTTTTTTTTAAACATTATTTTTCTATTTTATATTTTTTCGAATTATAATTTATAATTACATTTTTAATATTTATCCTTTTCGATTTATTATTATTATTATTATTTTTATTTTTTTTTAAACATTAATTATTTAATATTGTTATTATTATATATATTTTTTAAATCAAAGATTCTAGCCTTACCATATAAATAATTTTATTATAAAAAATAGATTAATATAATTAACCTAAAAATAACCCTTAAATTCCAGACCCACCCACCGACAACATAAGACCAAATAACATCAAAGATAATATAACGATCAAAGCCGATTGAATTACTATAGATATGTATAAATTATTATCTTAATCATATGTATGTATATATACATTGTTATTTTAATGATAATCAAGTAGATACAATATCAATAGGCAAACACGGTTATATACATTATTTACTTCTTAATTGCATTGGCTGTGAGTATGCATACGCCTGCAATCGTACTTTAAACGGCATTGCAAGTCCAAACGCATGCTTCCATGCTTGGACCTTTGAGTTCACGGTTGTCAGTAGTATCATGTAGTATCTGTGCAAACATCTTGTGCTTAGGACGCTTCTTGCAGAACAAACGAATCAAACAATCTTCCAACCAGCATTTTATGGCCTTGGGCACTCCTACTCAATGCTAACAAGCCAATTCGCTGTTGGACATCTAAGGCTTTCACGTCCCTCGTTTTCAATGCTTCAGTCAGAAATATATAATCTCGTAATATTTCGTATGCTGTCATTTCGTGGAGTCTAGTTTTCCAGACCCAATTGCAACTTCTTGAGATGAAATCTTCCGTCAAACCTGCAACTCCTGCGGAAGTGAGCTTGGCAATGGCAAGCCCTCGCGAAGCGCCAAATCACAATGCTTGTGATCACAGCCACACTCTGCAGTAACAAACACTCGTTCCTAGAAAAGAATCGCAGGGTTGGCTTGAAGAAAGTTTGTTGGAGGCGGAAAGTAAGGTAGCAGGTATTGAAGTGGTTCCTCTTTTGAGCACCAGCATTCTTAATAAAAGTTCTGCATTCCATTCAATTCTTTGGTTAGCTCTTGTCGCGGCTTGCTGAGAAACACGATGCCTCGCGGCACCGCTGCAAGAGGGCCATGGCGCAAACAAACTCCTGCTGCGAGAGAACCATCTCAGCATCCACACGCACCACTTGCACCAGGGCATTCGTTTTCTATTTATGTGCAGTTTTGAAGAACACCATTTTGACGTGTAGTCTCGTGACTTCAGGAAGCTTTTGCTGCGAAGTTGTTTAGGCCTTAAGGAAGCGTTGTAATTAGTTTAAGCGCGTTTCTTCTTTTCAGTTCATCCATCTAAACGGTTTAAGCATGACTTTGAATACAATCAAAGCTTTGCCGCCCATCCAGGTCTCCTGCAGATTGAGACGCCCATCCTCATCCAGATCTGACAACCTGTGATCGGTTGATTAAACATCAGGAAAAACATGCAGCCACTCGTCAGGAAGTTAGTTGCTAGTTTGTGCTCAAAGGCCGCCAAAGTATGCAACCCATGGTTTTGCGCCTCCACACGTGTGAGAGCTCTGACTTTGAGAGCCCAGAACGCTGGAACACCTGCTGCGGCAGACTCTGCAGGCATTGCCGGCATGTCCTATCCCAAAGATAGGAACATATCCACGATCACCCACATTGATTTTGCAAGGATGAAAGGGAAGGTCCTTGCATTCCTCCTTTTTGAGACATGGAGCCTATGTTTTGAGATATTGGGCGCTAGACCAGACAGCTGGGCACTCGCAAAGGGGAAAGAATCATGCTGCGCCTGCTGAGCGTCCTTCAGCCCAAGGTCTCCATTCGGAGACCTGAAGAAGAACCCTATGTGATAGTCAATCTCAAAAGTTGGAGGGTTGCAATCTTCTATACTTTCTCCCAATTTACCCTCAAGATCCGGTGAGGTTTTCACTACAATTGTTTGGAGGAAGTCAATGATCTCCTCCACTTGGAGATGGCTCAAAAACGTCCTTTTAAAAACAGCATTTGGTACTATTGGTTCACATCGCTTTGGAACAACACTGACCAAAGTTCGAGGTTCAAGTCAAGATTATAGATACACTCTTTTCTCTTTCTCTCTTCTTTTTGATGACAACGTGTTATTGTCTTTGCTTTGGTGCCTGAGCTGCTCAAAGAGATTGGTGTACACCTCCACTTCCTCAGCATCGAGTCCTGCCCGCAGGTGAGCAGTCTGGGATCTTGAACTTTGAAGACGCTTGCAACATAACATACTATATGTTCTTTTTAAAAGGGGGGTAGGGCTGCTCGGAGGTAGGAAGAGAGCTAACAAGTCAGTAGCTAATGTGGTAAAGTAGTAGCTATTGAGTAGGCCGCTACTAGGCTTGGTCGCAGAAGAAGCCTCTCAGGCTTCTTCAAGGAGAAGCTTTTCCGTTTAGGGGCTTGCGAGGTTCCTCGAAGAACTCTTCGCATGATTGATTTGATATTTTGAGGTTTGGGAAACTGAGAAACTAAACATGTCATCTCATGCGTTTAATCATCGATTGATCAACTGCCCCTTTGATTGGCCCTTGTGGGGGATTGGATGAACAATGTCAACAAACGTCCATTAGTATCGCACAAAGCAAAACGAAGGGGCGGTGCGGGCCCATCTTTCTTCCATTTAGAAGCGTCCTTGTTCCTAGTAGCGATGCCAGGAGCCCCTAGTAGCGTCCTCTAGTAGTAAGGCCAGGAGCCCCTAGTAGTGTCCTTAAAAAAAAGGAAGTATCATGTGTTTGTGCAAGTTCTGCTTGCACTTTCTTATCTGCAACAGAACAGCAGCCACAGAAACGGTGGCCTCCTGACTCTTGTCCCGCTGCCAATTCTTGCAGCCTTGGCCCCAAGGTTACCAAGGTTTCAATTGTGGCTTTCTTGGTACTGATTTCAAACAGCGAGGTTTTGTGGATCCTCTTGCCTTGTGGATCAACACAGGAGTACATCAGACATCAATTGGAAGGAACTGGCGATCAAAAACGCAAGTTAAGTTAAGACTCACTGTACGGTGCTTGTGCCTCATTCACTTGCCTAACGTGTGAACGTGGAGAACAGGAGGCCCTGCCCATCGTCACCTAGTGTTCTAGGGTGGTAATACTGCGCAACTTGAATGCTGCTCTGCTCTGAGCATCTTCTGGGCCTCTGGCGGCCAGGGCAGCGCTCCCGGCAGTTCTTCCCCCTGCCCATTGACGATGGGAGTCAGAGAACGCAACACCCTGGTTGTCTCCCCTCAAGTCCTTTTCGCGCACGCATTTGTCTCTGCCATTCATGACCCAACCCGCTGAGGTTGAGGTTCAGCAGGACCAAACCATGTGGATGTTGGGTGGGTGAGCAAGTCAGGTCCATGTGGATCTCATCTATCTTGGATCACAAACGATCACAAAAGAACACAAAGAACCAGGTGACAAGGTGTGACATTTGTTCTAACTTCCCCCTTAGGTGCTGGCTGTTCTCTTGGCAAATCATGATGAACATTGAATCGCTGGAAGCCAGTCATGGAGGCTTCTAATGGTTGGCTGTTCTCACACCGCATTTTTTTACATCTAAAACAAATCACCTTCTTCATTCTATCCCACCTGGCGCCGGAGGGCCGTCACATGCAGAGCTGCGGCAAACTCACCGAAGTGGAGTTGGCCATCCTCACGTACACACTTTAGCATGCTCCCAGATCCACAATATAGGAGTCGCAGGGACCCCAATTGGCAAGGAATAGCATCGAATAGCAACATCATGCAACATCCATATCTTGCTTGAATAGTCTCAAACTCTTGGGTGAAGTAGCTCCGTCGCATATGTCTCATATTTTTTTGTGTAGAAACGGACTCGCACCACGCTCGGAGGTCACACACACACAGTCCATTTAGTCCTGATCTACGTCGGCGATCCGCAGGATGTGCTCCACTTCGCCGCCTGGAAGCTGTGACCTTCCAAGGACCTGCACTGCGCGGCATCGGGACCCAGTGCACTGCGTAGCCTGTTTTGGACTGACTCATCCTCGTTGTTGCCCATTTCAAGCTCGTCTTTCCAGGCTTGGTACATAGGCTATCATAGGTACATACCTAAGTGGAGGAGATTACTATCTGTGCGACGGCATTTATTTGGTACTTAGCTCAAATACACCATCTCTTATGTGGGGGCCCTATCTCGTTTTGACTATATACTTAAGCAAGAGGTCATGTCACAATATCTCGTTCAGACTACTTTAGTGACATCAAGCAAACATATCTCATTTATGTGGGGGCCCTATCTCGTTCACAAGTGGATGCTGATGATAAACAAGCAAATAGAGCACGCCGTAGACTACTTTAGTAAAGCCTAAATAACAGTGGTTGCTCATCTGAAGACCAAAGGGTTTCATATGTTTTCATAAGTCTGGTCACGCAATGGGTTGCCTTATGACACCAAGATATCCAGAAAGGGCCAGGTGTGAAAGCCTAAGAACGGGACACCCTCATATGATTATGGTTGAAAGTGTGGAACCATTCAACAACTTGGTTGCAGACTCCTACATGTCACATTTGGAGCTACAGTATCTCGATCTTTCTCCAATGGCTGGTTCTCAAGGATCGTCCGCCTGCTGAGCTGCAGCGAAGCTCAAGAAAGACCCAGGACACTCCATCAGAAAGAGGTCTCGATACCTGCAAAGATTTGAGGCTTGAGATGGTTTCAACATTGGTTGCGTTTCTTGACCAGGGAGCCTACCAAATACACTAAAATGATATAAAATCCAATGCTGGCATCATTAGGGCCATTAGCGTAAGGTGTAAGTGTAAGGTTCAAGAACAACTCCTAGATGGGTGGTGGGGCAGAGTTCTGTCAGAGCCAAAGCCCGTCTGCCTGTCTTTGCTTGATTCACAAACACAGCTGCTAGCTAGAATTCCCTAGAAATCAAACATGCCCTGCAAAGGCTTCCTGCAGTGAGGTGAGCCTTTTTTGGGTCTGAACTAGGCGGGGTGGTCTTTCTATCGCGGAAACTGCACCTTTCCGCTTTGGTTCAATAAGGAATTGGGGGTGGACGACCTGGCAGGTCGGCTGAAAAAGCATGGATTCGTCAGATCGTGTCACGACATCACAGCAGCATCTCAGCGAAGTGCTCAGCGAAGTGTGGCTCAAGCATGGCTCACAAGGAGTCAATGTCTTTTCAGCAGAGCGGTGCAAATGGAAAAGGAGAATGACTTGGTTTGACTTGCCTCCTCCACGTCCTTCAACTTCTATCTCGGAGTCTGTGGAAGCTGACAGGAGTTGTGCCTGCCCCAACAATATTTTTGTTCTCATTATAAACAGACTGAGACGTCACATCTTCTGTGACAGTTTCTGAGGGAAATTTGTCTGGTGGCGTAGGGCCTGGGCCTTTCAGGTGGCAATGCCATTGCAGTTCTGCACCCTGGGGAGGTGCGAATATTGATGATTTCCACCTCGCACTTTGGAAACAGCAAGGGGCGACTGAAATCAATATCTTGACATCAATGGCTCGCTGTTGCTTTGCCTCCTGCATGGCGGTTTGGAAAAGGCCACAAAGGGAACCTAAGAAAGATACATGCGAGTCTCTACTCGGCTTCTTTTTTCGTTGCAAAGAGTCTAAATGTCTCCTCTCTCGAGGTTCTCAGAAGTCAAAGAGCCAACAGTTTGTGGTCTTGCCCTTGATATCCATCTGTTGGCCTGGCCGGCCGACGACATAGTCCTTGTTTTCGACTGCTTGAGCTGGAAGAGCATGCCATGCATGAGCTGTAGGTAGAATTTGATACTCCTTGATGTTGAGGGTGAACCCACGGCTGCAGCTGAAGGCTTGCCACACTGGAGAATCAAGAAGAGCAGTCTCACCCTGAAAACGCCTGCATTCTTTGTTGTGATGAACTTGCACCACGTGTTTACAGTTCAAAGCGTGAGTGATTGAATCAGTCGTCTGAGCATGTTTGATAGTATCCGAATTTCAAGGGTTTCCGTCCACTCTTGTTTTTTTTTTGCCAGAATTTGAAATTACTGTTTCAAGTCAAGACAACCCCAAGTCAAGTCATCCCGACCATGGGTGGGAGCCTCTCAAGATCTTCTGGCTCAATTGCCTCAAACGGCAAAACATGGCTTTTTTAATCAAACCAATCTGCATGTATCGGCCTAGGTACGAGTCCTCTACCAGTACCTCCGTCCTTTCCTGGAATTTTCCATTGACAGGGGCTTTTTGGAACTTGGAGCCCCTTTTCACTGATAGCCAAACTGAATCGACATGCGAGGGAAAAGCTAGCAAAGACCTTAAGGCCATTGGCATTGGTGCAAACACGTTTTGCCCAACATGATTCGCTGCCAACACTTGCCAAAGCACTAGGCTGCGAACCCACTTGGAATGATTATGATCCACACCAGGTAATTCTTCCAACCTAAGCATGTGGGATGTGTTCAATCACCAGGTCAATCCAGGGATTCATCCCGGTGCATGACCTTGCTTCAACTAGCTTGCCGGTGAAGCTGCAAACCCTTTTGAATGCCAAGATTGGGTTTGCTCCGTTCTCCAGTTGTGGTTGAAGGGCAGTATGCAAAAAAGGAGGGAGTACAACATTTTTGATCCCGTGTAGAGCAAGACACTTTAAATGGTGATGGGTTACGGAGGTGTTTAGCTCCTTCATTGACTTTCCCACATTTTCAATCCAGGAATCTGGATCTGAAGAGGCTTGCCGCGCTATTCAGGAATCATCAACACATTCGCACCCAGCTTGGTCTATGCTTGGTCAGCTAACCTGGAAGCCCACAGCCCACAATGAGCAGCTGAGTGCCAAGCGGAGCATGTGTTGGAAATTCGATGGCACCGGCCACCAGCCTCGTTTTTGGATGCCATCTCTGAGCGAGGAAAGGTGGCTCAGGTCCGAGCCTGATTCTATCAATGTCTTGGTTGACTCACGGACGCACAAAGTATTTTACCAGTGAAATCCTTCACACTCAAGTTACTCAAAATAGGATTACGTGCCGCCAAGCGCGGGGCCGGGCTATCAAAAAGAAAATTCTTATATCCTATCAAAAAGAAAATTAATTTGTATCACAAACAAAATATCTCTCACAAAGAGCTGCGCCTGCCACTGCAAACCGCCTTGGCAGCGCTGCGCGATGTGAATCTGGATGTGCAGATTTCGTGGCGCGCGCAGCACTTTGGGCATCTCCAGTGGCAGATTTCGTGGCAGGAGCAGCACTTTGTGCACTGGAACTGCAGATTTCGTGGCCTGCGCAGCACTTTGATCACCTCTAGTAGCAGATTTCGTGGCAGGAGCGGCACTTTGTGCACTGGAACAGCAGATTTCGTGGCAGGCGCAGCACTTGGAGCACCTCCAGTAGCAGGTTTCGTGGCAGGAGCGGCACTTTGCGCATTGGAAGTGCAGATTTCGTGGCAGGCACAGCACTTTGAGCACCTCCATGTAGCAGGTTTCGTGGCAGGATCGGCACTTTGTACGCAGCACTTTGAGCACCTTCAGTTGCAGGGCTCGTGGCAGGCGCAGCACTTTGTGCGCTGGAACTGCAGATTTCATGGCAGGCGCAGCACTTCGTGAACCTCAAAGTGCAGATTGCGTGAACCTCTGTCTATAAGCGCAGACTTCGTGGCAAGCGCAGCGATTGCGAACCTTGTAGTGCAGTTTGCGTGGCGTTTGTAAATTCTGTGGATCTGAAGATCTCAAGACTCAAGACCTCTAAACCTCCATCTTTAGGTCTGTGGGTTTCTAGACCTCTACACCTGCAGATCCGTCTGGATCTCCAGGCCTCTGGATCTTTGTAGATGTAGATCTCTCTGCATCTCAACCGTGATCTGTCTGAATTTCACGATGGCTCACAAAACCGCAAGACCTGTGGATGGCTCACAAAAGGTCTGCTATGTTGGAATGGCACCTTCCTCCTCTAAAGTTTATGCTGACAACAGGTCTGCTCCTGTAAATTTTGCCTTCGCATCGCTCACAAAAGGTCTGCTACGTTGGAATAGCAAGTTCTACCCTCGGGTTGCTCACAAAACAAAGGCCTGCTACGTTGTAATGGCAACTTCTTCCTCTAAGTTTCAACCTCGCAAGGCTAACAAAAGGTCTGCAACGTTGGAATGGCTCCTTCCTCTTCAAAATTTTGCCCTCAGGTGGCTCACAAAAGGTTTGCTACCTTGGAATGGCACTTTCTTCGTCGAAATTTTACCGTCAGGGTGGCTCACAAAAAAGGTGTGCTACGTCTGGCGATAAAAGGTCTGCTACGGTGCTTCACAGGATGTATGACCAGATTTCCAAATCACCTTTAACGCGTCTTGCCTCGAAAGTACAGACCCAACCGAAGACCAGGACGAAGGACCAAAGGACCAGAGGACCAAGGGACCAGAGGACCAAGGGACCAGAGGACCAAGGGACCAGAGGACCAAGGGACCAGAGGACCAAGGGACCAGAGGACCAAGGGACCAAAGGACCAAGGGACCAGAGGGACCAGGGGACCAAGGGACCAGGACAAAGGGACCAAAGGACCAAGCGACCAGGGAACCAGCAGACCAGGACCAAAGGAGTAGGGGAAATTTTATTTTTGATACGAATTAATGTTTTTTTTTGATAGGAATCAATTTTCTTTTTGATAGGAAGTAATTTTCTTTTTGATAGGTATCCCCAAGCGCGGTCTACTAACCTTCGTTTTAGTGATGAGTTGGGCCTGAAGTACCAGGCAACATTTGCAGCGGGGTTCAACCATGCCAAAATACGGCTTTGAGCTTCCAGAATTCTGCAAGGCACCACAAGCTTCCAAAAGTTCAATCTGTTACGCAAGTTCAGAAGGTATGCACCGATCGAAATACAAATGGTGAATGCAGGCATACCTCCGCCTAAGCCTGAAATCTAGAGTGCGATCAAAATGCACAAAACCGAGCAAGTACGTCAGGGTGGTCAACTCTGTTTTCATGTCTTCGTTCCAGGTCCTCGATTTGGTCTGACAAGCATGGTCCAGCATGGTGTCTGGGCACTCTCCGAGTGGTTGACCGATCTCACGCACTGAAGTCTCCAAATGAACGCGCCTTGCCAGCGATTGTGGCAGCTCTTCTGGCACTGGTAGGCCTTTCCGGCGCCTGCAGGATTGCGAATTCGTCGACCATTTGATGGCCAGCAAGGAGTATATCTTTATATATGGGCACAAACCGCACCCGCAGGGGACAGTGTGAACTGAGCATCTTGATGTGACCTGAAAGCCAATTCCACACATGGCAATCCCATGTAAAGTGCCCCCTAACAGAATGGCCATGGCATTTGGAGTTCCCTTCGCTCTTCGCTGGTGACGTCATATCTTCTGATATCTTCTGGTATTTTATTTATATAGGCTTACGCAATTGGGCGGTATATCTCATTATAGGTAACAGTTAATGATGATGGTCACTATCTATTATAAAGGGCTTTCTCAAAACAGTGACAACCTGTTACCGCCTGTTGCGGGCAATGGGACACACCCAGACCCTAGGCTTCAATGTTCTTTCGTTCTCTACCTTTGGACATCCCGAAGGCTTCTTAATTCTCATTCCCTTGCTTTTGATGAGATACAAGGTCATACAAATTCAAATACAGCACAACGCTTTCAGGAAACGTATCTTCCGACATGCTGGGTTTTCGCGGTGTTCACATCAATGCCTGGCGGTCAAAGCCATAGCGCAAGCGAACTCACAAAGCGCCAATTGGCCGTCGTAGTCCACCTGAGATGGTGGCGCTGACATGGTCTGACAAGATGATCCGATGTGCCTCAAATTTGTTCTCCTTCTTGTCAGGAACAAAAGTGGTGTGCGCCTTTGCCAACTTCCAGAATGAGTATCCGCATGCCACTTGGACCGGCTGTTTTTAAAAGGGGTTGTGCGAGGGCACATGGGATCATAACAGCCAGGTAGGGGTCTACACGGGAGTTCGTTTTGCTTCCGCCAGTAACGTTTTGCCGAGTCACGTCCGCCAAGGACCAGATCTGTGCCAGCTCTTCAGAAGCCAAGCCACTGCGCTGTAGCACCTGTATCGTCTGCACTTGCACATGGCCAACACATTGTGGAGCTAAGGCAGCTAAGCTCCTTAGAAACTGTTGGGGGAAACATGTTCCTCCAAGGGCTTTGCCCCGTTCCCCTTAATTGCTTCTCACTAATGCGCTCTCTTATGAGTTGACTCTCGATCGCGTCAAAGCTAGTGTGATTACAGTATATATAGATATTTTGCAGATCGTTGAGCCATATCCATTCTGTAGAAGCTGCTTCCAATCGCAAAATAGATTCTCTCTGCTTCAGTTTCATAGTAAAAGGTGTCTCTGACTGCAGCAATCTTGGAAACCTGCTAGATCCCCAAATTATCGTTTCGTTCTGTCAAACTAGAACGGGACCTGGTCGCCTACATCTAAATGACCATGTAGGCCACATGAATGTTTGAAACAATGTTGGAGATTTGGGCACTATCCACCACTGAACAGTGCACAGGACAATTGACCAAATAAACAGGTCACCAACCCCAACAGCAGATGCATAAACATCACTACCTCTGCTTCTGCTGCAGCCAGGCCATTGGAGAGGTCCAAGTCTCACGAGGGCAGCAAAGAAGGGATTGTTGACTTAAGAACTCAAGGACTTTCTGTTTTATGTTCAAGCTAATTTTGAGGGGGCGGGGGTGGGGTGGTAAGCTAAGTAGAAAACTCAGTAGTAGGATTGGACCAGCAATGCACGAAACTGTAGTTGGACTCAGCAAACCCTTCGCGTGATTGAAACCGTTCCGAATTCTTCAGGATACACGTTACTAACATTGGTGTCCTATTGTTGGCATATGTAGTTTTTCTCCGAAACAAGTTGAACTTTCGTGAGTTCCGTATGATATCCATGTCTGATCGTACCAGTTTGATCAGTGTCCCAATCTGAAAAAAAGTGGAAACGTGTGAGGGTTTACAAGATTAACATCCATCACAGGTCTAGATGAAGATGCAACATCTACTGTGTACAGGTCGTCCCAGGATCTCCTCCCCATGCACAGGAATCATATATTCCAAAGACATCCGAAGACCGGCTATGTGCCTTCTGTGTGGGATGACTTTAGTGAGAAACCAAACTTTCACCTCATCACCTGTCTCTGGCGCACTTGATGGACAACCTCCCCCTTGGATTCTGACCATCGTAGAGGGCTCGATACCTTGACAGAAGCAGTGTATGTATGGTATGTGCATGGTGTGTACTATATACAACAGTACAGTCTTTATGTTTACTTATATATCTTATATGCAGGGAGGGCCCACACAAGCAGGAAACAACACCCTGGGCAGCAACGGTTCTTGGCAGTGCGTCGTCTTGGAGACGTTGCCCTGCAAAGCTTGGGACCGTTCAGAGCAATTCGAATCCTGCAGGATCATTGTCACCAGCTTACCGTCTCCAACGTTAGAGGTGGGGCTGGGCTGGACTGCACCTCATGGTGTGGATGTCATGGGACACATCATCATTTCTATCCATTTGGCCCTAACACTCCCCTTGAGTCCCTTCATCATCTCAACCGCTTCTCTTCTCGTCCTTCCTCTCTTCTTTCCGAACTTCACAATGCCTTCTTGAGCTTGCTAGCCTCTCTCTTCCTTCTCCGCCTCGGCTTATGGGGCGCCTTCTGGATCTTCGACAGATCCTCATAGTCTTTCTCTCTTTGTTACCACCTCTCCTCAAAAGTCCTGAGCTCTTCATGCCAACTGACGCGTTCTCCTCCATTGTGGCTCCTTGCATAATTGCTGCAGCCAACAAAAGACAACAGTTCTCGCCAGCTGACAAAAAATCTTTCATGACATTCCTTCACAATGACGATTGCCAAGCCCCTCCAGTCACCGTCCGTGATCTGGTCTGTATCTCCCCCTTTCGAGCGCGTATGTTCTGATGAGCTGGTCCTCCTTGTTTCCCAGTGAGTACCTTCTTGAGCTTCTCTTGAGCATCCTTCGGACATGCTTAGGCCCAGGAAGAGGAGTTCAGTCGCATTGTGTGGCATGACGGCTTTTGTGCGTGAGAGAAGGGTGGACGGAAGGATGTGACAGGATGAGAACAAGATCTATGTCCCACTGGGCAATGAGGCCTTGTGAAGGAAGAGGAAGATGACAAGGGCATGAAGAAGTGGCAAGAACTTGTAAGGAAGGAGAAGGAGTGGCAGGAGTACAGTTACAAGGAGGTGCTCCTATCGAAGCTGAAGGCATCGGGGAAAGAATTGGACCCTCGCTGGTTCAGGAAGAAGCCAAGACTTTTCAGGACTCCAACCGGGTTGAGCGGGAAGCCTGGATCAAGAATGGGGTGGTCCAACAACTAACACCTCAGGAGGCATCCAGAGTTCCAGCCAGTGCAATCTTCAAAATACCTCGTAGAGTGGTCGGGGTGAACAAGGTCTTGCAGGCTAAAAGTCGAGTCGCGATTCCGGGCCACATGGATCCGGGAATGGAGAGTCCAGGAGTGACAGGCCGACAACGACACCAACAGCCACCAGGATCATGAAGAGCTTGTGTGTGACCTTCAGGTGGGCATGTTATGCTTTCGACGTGGCCCCCGCTTTTCCTTCAGGTAAGACCGACCGCTTGGTGTACGTTCGAGCTCCCCAAGAAGTGCCGAGGACCAGTTCCTCCGAACCTGTGGGACTATGATTGTGGTACCTCCGTGCAGTGGAACTTCCTGGTCGAAATCCCCTTCTGTCGCAGCACTTCTATTGCCAAAGAGGGTTCAGAAGTCTTTGCTTTTTCTGGATTGCATGTGACTGGATGATGGGTTGTTCATTGGGAATCCTCAAAAGCAAAAACTTGATCAACTTAGATAGGCCACTGACAGTGTGTTCAACATCAAGGAATAACAGGTGGTCCGCATGCAGGGCACGCATTACCTAGGCATGATAGATTTCTTGACCATGACAAGGGGCTCATCATTGACAACATTGCCCATTATGTCAACGAGATTGAGAAGGTTATCTTTTTTTCACAGGTGCAGAAAGCAACATTGATGGGTCATGATTTGACACTTTTGAGGCAGCTGGTGATGAGAATTGGGTCACCGGCACAGCGCATCTTCCCAGAGTAGATGTTTCGAATCAGCTGAACAGCCCAGAGGGACTCCCAGAGGGTTGGAAGTGCAGTTTCTCAGGATTTGAAGGAAGCGAACGCTCTGTGCTCTGTGAAGCAAAGGCCAAGATCATTGGATGGTGAACCTCCGTTTGTCTCTTACTTCGCCACCGCCCTGGGTCGCAAGAAGGATGGTTCTGCCCAAGCTGGTGAATTCCATTGAATTCCATCATATTCCATCTACTCAAGGACAGGAGAGCTTTGCAGGAAGTTCGGCTGTCCAATCTGCTCGAATATCATCCAGTCTTGTACACTTACAAAAGGAGATGATCATCAGTTGTACAATCGATTGTTGTTCGACTTCAGTACAATTGAGGTTGCAAGCGATTGGAGGAGCCGTTTGAAAGCGCAGGGAGTTGCGGTCACGGATGCTAAGGCCGTGTTTGACCACTGCCTGACTACAGGCCACATGGCTCAGGAGCGTCAGACCGCCATTGATTCATATCGATTTGTTGATTGAGGAATGTCACATGGACCTCAAGTGGGTTCGGACCTTCAAACAGCTGGCAGACTCACCTACGAAGATCATGAAAGACTGGCTCCCGACAAAGTGCAATCAACATGGTTTGATTTTTTGGATTTCAACTACAGAAGATTCGCAGGAGTAAAGTCGTCGTGCAAGCATCCGAAAGGGGCAAAGAGCACAAGGAAATGCCGTTAAAGGGTCTGGTGAAACATCTTTCAGGAATGTGAACCGACGATGTCAAGTGATGTGAGCTTTCACCAGACATGTTTCCTGATGGATCCGATCGACTTATGCAGGTGTCATCTCAAGCATTGCTGTGCTTTTGCTTTTGCTTAGCCGCTTTTGCTTCACATTGCTTTGCTCTGCAATTTACCTTGGGAAGCCTTTGCTCGGTTTTGTTTGGTTTTGCGGTTTGGTCTTGGCTTCTTGCGACTTCGATTGGCTAAACACTGGTATCAGTCATCGAACCCGGGTGGATGCCGCTAGCAACTAGTGATTAATGGGCCATCGGTGTCCAACTTCAAAGAACAAACATTAATAAGCCAGCGTGCTGTGTTGAGACAGAATCATTGGAAGCGAGGCATCAAACATAAGGAGCACAATGAGTGTTTATAGCACGTCAAAGTTTGTACCACGCACAACCACTGCTGCTCAGCAAGTTTTCCATCGCAGTCAAAGCAATTGTGCATTCTACTCTGGACTCACAAAGTAGAAGGAGGGAAGGAAGAAAGGAAGGAAGGAAGCACAAAGGCCCATTACATACTTCACCAAAGGTGCAAATCAACAAGAACTTCTTCCAGGTCTCCTTCGACTGAATTGAGAAAAGCATCACAGTTGTCATGCAAACAAGGGCTTCTTCCTCCATTCATTCTCACGTTCAAGGTGCTGTGCGAGTTCCTCACTGGTCACCTCCCACAAGGACTCATCCACAGGTTCCCACGATGCGTTAAAGGAGCCTGGCAAGAGTAATCTGTCTTGGACATGCTAGAAGGAATTTTGAACTCCAACGGTTACACACCATCATGTTAAAGAAATATTTGACACTTGGATCGAATTACTGCTCCGTTTCCATTGACTGAAGCATCCTTTTGCCAAATAAACATCGCACACATGAATTCCATCCTTTTGGTTGGCCAAGGCAAAAGGTCAAGGTGACCCAGTGACACAAACCCGGGCCATCTCGGGCCTTCAAACTTTGATCCAGCTCCTGACACACTTTGACACAGTTCGGAGTGTAACCTTGTCTTGGTGCCTCTGATGCCCCGAAGAAATGGTCGGACCCAACAACTTCATGAACACCTGCAAGATGCCCCAGAGGTATGTAATTGTCAGGACATTGCACCCTTTCTGGGAGTGGATGGAAAAAGCATCCCAGAAATCGAACCTATCAATTGCTTTTTCCCTGCACGGTAAATAGACCATGCGTGGGTTTAGCTCAACAGTCCTGGCTAAACAAAAGCGCGAGGGATAGACTGCATGGTAGCTAAGTGGGCAGGGACCAACAAGGGTCGTTTTCTCCATGTCTCCCAGCGAGTTGACAGTGATATCAGCGCCAGAATGTGAATCTCACAGCATACATGCACATACACATATCGTTCCACCAAACAAAGTGGTTTTGACTGAGTGATGCAGCAAAACGATGAGCGTCACAAACATGGAGATCAAGCTCCTGGTGCTTAAAACCGCTTAAAACATCTTAAAAGCAACAAGACACCAACATTTTCAAGGGAAACAAGCGAACAGCCGTTGTTCATCCTTGTTCGTGTTGCACCACATCTCGTCCTTCACTGTTCACCGGCAGGTCTTCCTGACAGTTTGGTGTTCCGCCCAAATGCCACTGTAGTTTGGGAAAGGCAGGTATTCACAAGGTAGATCTGGAACCCATATGTACTCATCTTCCTTTGTTTATCACAGACTTTCGCATTCAGCTTCTCAGTCAATTTCGATCTATTCACATGGAAGGCGTTCAACAGAGCTTGGGCTGATGATACAACAGAACAAGTAACTGATTAACTGTGTCAACTCAAACAATCAGGCTTCCAGTGGTGTTTGTATGTGGCATTCAAGCAAAGGAACCTGCTCCTTTGTTTGAAGCTCATGCTCAGAATATCTCAGAATGTAATCCTGTCGAAAGGATGCTGATATGCACAAATAATCCTACAATGTGGATCATTTTCCTTGTCAGCTCGCAAGTCTGCGCTGTAGAATAGTACCTCTTTTCCCTGGATCCAAGAAAAAGTCTCTACATCTGTCCCCACGTCTTCTCAACATAGATTTGCAATGGTTTGCACGGCTTGTTCATTTCTTTTCTCTTGTCGCTTGAACTCTGGCTTCTTTGACCCGTTGAAGCAGCTAAGGCAGTTTCAACAGACCTCTAGTCCATCCACACTGTCCACACCATCCACACCTCCGGTCTGCCGTTCCCAACGACTCGCGCAAGGCCCTTGCCCACCGTGGCCACTTGCATCAAGACCTCCGGCAAGTGGTCGGGAAGCGCTTCGCCCCGCCGGCGCCTTGGAACGCAAAAGAGGAAAGGCGACCAAATGCGTATTGAAAATGAGTGAAGTTGGAGCCAAAATCCATTGGTCGAAGGGAAACTAGACAAAAAATCCGTGGGTTGGGGGTCTCCTGTCCTTGGGATACCGAAAGGATCACAAAGGCTTGTCCGTTTCCATCCAAAAGGCGTAGATAGGGAACCTGTTCAATTTGGAGCTCCATCCTGCACCCCACACCCTTTCACCAAGCACAACGATCATTCGCTTTGCATTTCGCCAAGTCCACGCCTTTCAGCCAAGTGCATTGCACAAAGGAACTCCCCGAAGCGGAGTTGACCATCACCGTCCAAGTCCTGAAACTTGCTCAGAGCTGGCCATCGTAGAAAAAATACACGAAAAACAGCGTCAGCATTTCTCCACAGAAAAATCTCTCTCTCTCTCTCTCTGACGTCTCCGTCTGTCTGCCCTCCCTTTGCTGAGACCAACATCTCCCAATGTGCTCCAAGCAGCAGAAAGGCTCCAAATCTGAGACAGCTCTGAATGTGGCAGTTGTGTCCTGCCCAACTCCGATGGTGGAACCTTCCCTCAAGTGATCATTCATATCCATTAGAAATCACCAAATATCTGACTACCAATTCCATTCTCTCCCATGATGGTTTATTGTGTATTTCACGTTGTTGAACAAATTGCACGAATGAATCATCCATCCATGTCGTAGGTGTGGGGTTGGACAATTGCACAACGCTCTCCAATGGAGACGGACATGATCTACTCTCATTTCCTTTTTTCGGGTGTCATAGAACAAACGTTTGTAGTGCCGAAGCAACGTCAACTTTGCTTGAATTGTATTCAAGGTCGTGGAGTGACTGGGACTCAGCCAAGCCATCGCTTTGTGACCCATCCATCTTTGGAATTTTCGGGTCTGGAAAAC